AGGATAGTTGACATTGATTGTCTCAAGGGCCAGTGAACGCATTTGCTCGGGAGGAGGGTTTGATTTCCTGAAGAAGTCGAGCAGTTGGGTACGACACACTACATCAATGTCTGCTAATGGGTTCATGGGGAGAGAGAGGCTTTTTGGTTTATCATCGATTTGTAACGCTTTCTTCAGTTCTATGGCTTTCTGTATTAGACCAGATTGCGTTTTCAGATGTCTTGGTCTATTCCCATAAGTGCTTAAGAACTTATCCATGGGAATGCGCAGCAGCTTCTCATAAAGGATCAAGGCCTTTTCTTTGATAAGAGAACCTATTGTGGTGCTTCCTGTAACTAGGAGCAGTGCATCAATGGGTGTTGATTTTATCCCTCCAGTAATTAGTCGTAATGCTTGGTTGTGTGCCTTCTCGAGTGGTTTGAGAGTCACCTCTGTGGCTGTAATGAGTGGCTCACAGCAATACAACATTATTGGCTGAATAAACATCTTGTAAGTGGTGTTTAGAGTTGAGCGCGCATAGCCCCATACGCTACCAGCAAATTGCTTTGGTACATTCAGTCTATTGGAGTCTCGTTCGGCTACTTTAGCAATGTGACTTTTCCATGTTAGCTTTATTGAAAAATACATTCTGAGATAAGTGAACTCATTGGTTTTTCCTAGGGTAGTATCCTTGTACCTTGATAGCGGATTTATGCCGTGACAGGCCATAAAAAATGTTTTGAATGCAGGTTTTGCAGTGTTGATAACCATTCTATTTTTGTCGCACCAGTGTGCTAGTAGTTTAAGTGCATAATTTAGGGCACATTCCGTCCTCTCCTGATCATTTTCTTAGTTGCGGAATACCACAGCACAAGATCATCTGCATGAAGTGAGCACTTGATGTCCGTGACTGTCTGTATTAATTCGGTTTTGTCATTGATGAAAACATTGAAGTGAGTACAGCTTGTGACAGCTCCCTATGGAAGGCCTTTTTGTAAAAGATGGGATTTGATAGAGCATTTACATGTCTGAATTTACATGATCTTTGTCTAATGAATGCTTTTATCTAGTTTAGCATGTTGTGCCTTATACCAATTTTCGCCAATTTTAGAATTAAATTCTTTTTCCATATTATGTCACATGCTGAGTTGAAATTGACGATTACAACTGTAAGAGTATTACTTGCACCAAGGGCATCTTTGATGTGTTGGGAGAAAGTGGCTACCTGTTGGTTAATTGATATTTGTGGCCTAAAACCTGCTTGTTCATTGCTATGAATATTGTTGATCCCGAGGAACAAGGTCATCTTCGTGTTAGCCATTCTTTCCATAAGTTTAAAAAACCCTTGTGAGGACGATAGGCTTATAGTTGTCAAATTTGCCTTTTTAGTACTTTTATTACTATGGCAACTNACAGCCGTAAGGGTATTTCTTTCATCAAGGACATCTTTGATATGTTGGGAGAGAGTGGTTATTTGTTGGTTTGTTGATCTTTGTGGCTTAAAACCTGCTTTGTTTCTAAGAACATTGTTGGTCTCATGGAACCAGACCAGCCTCGTGTTAAACATTCTTTCCATTAGGTTAACCAACATGTTTGCGAGGGAGATAGGCCTATAGTTGTCAAAGCTGCTAGGGTCTTTGCCCTTTTTTAGTACTGTTATTACTATAGCAGCTAGGGTCTTTGCCCCTTTTAGTACTGGTATTACTATGGTAACTTTCCATTGGTTAGGTACGAGACTGGTCTCCCAGATTACTTTGAAAATTAAATATTGCATTCATCGTCACATGAAATAGTCTGGCAAATGCCGCCCTAGCATCGTGACTAACTTGACAAGGCAATGACTAATTCCACCCAGTTGATATGTCTAAAAGCTTGCGAGGACTTCACTTCTGTCTTAGAAATGCAAACCGCAGAAAATACTTCTTCACTTTGAAGATTCAAGTGCATAAAAAGTAACATAGAGTACCTTATCCCCAAATCAGCATTTTAAGTGTATATTTGTTTTGTAATGAAAGGTCTCGATATTCGCTAATGCAATAGTACAAAGAATCGATAAAAAATATTTCTTATTGGAAAGCTTCTAAGCATAGATAATAATGAAATAGGTCTAGAAGGAGTTAGGGAGATGTGATTCAGTAGAAGGTATGACTGATTTTACTTCATTTGATATCTTGATTCAATTTGAAAATCTTTTCAGATAATGAGTAGTTTGCTGCTCAAAATACCGAAGCAAACATTTCAGGTTTTGCCTCTTGGACATCAGAGTTCATACTCACAAGGTCTTGTGTTTACAGACATACTGACTACTATTTGTGTTATGTAGTACCATTTGAGTATGTACTCATCGGGAAAGGCAGATCTAACTAGCAGTAAATTCAAGGTATTTTGAGTAATAAATGCTATCCAATGCTTTACACCACTAATCATATTTAGATGGGTTGAGGACTGGATATGTTATCACTTTATTATATGAGCCGGTTACAGGGAACTTAAAGTTTGGTTAGCTTGAAGTGAGAATCACAGGGTCGGAATGTTGGAAAGTAAAGATGAGATCTTTATATGAAACTAGTAAACAGTAAATCAAACCCGCATATTGAATACATAACTTTCCATTCCATAATCTAATAAAAACTTCCGAAAAAATCTTTTCTCTCATCAACTTTCTAAAGTTTGAGAAAGGTCAAATCATTGGTTTCAGCCAATCTGAAAAGAAATATAAAAGACTAGCTTAACATTTTTTTTACTTCCATTTATAATTTGTGTATATGATCTGGAACTCCATCAATTATCACTATCCGCTGCAACTCACCACCAGACATATTTATTTATATCAAATGACAGGCGTTTTGATAGTTATCATTAGTCCTTTAGTTGACTTCAGGCTTCACAGAGGAGGAGGAACTTCAAAGTGAAACAGGTTGAGAGGGGGAGGGGGAACAGAAGAGAGTTTCAAAGATGTAAAAGAGACAGACACAAAATTGGAAAAAGGTGAGTTGAGTAGTGTGGAAGTAGTCGAATATGACATACAATGGGGTGAGGGTAGTTTGAAGTCAGAAATCAACTGCCAGTTAATAGACTTTTTCGCCGTATGAGTATACGTTGCCCAGGGTGCACCACGTGGAGGTAAGTCTNTTTTTCTTAGGGGCGGAATAACATAGAACAAGATCATCTGAATAAAGTAAATACTTGATGCCCGTGACTGTCTGTACCAATTCGGCTATGTCATTGATGAAGACATTGAAAAGAGTGCAGCTTGTGACAGCTCCCTGTGGGAGGCCTGTTTGTAAAAGATTGGATTTTGATAGAGCATTTCCATATCTGACTTTACATGGCCTTTGTCCAATGAATGCTTTTATCTAGTTTAGCATGTTATGCTTAATACCAATCTTTGCCAATTTTAGAATTAGCTTCTCTTTCCATACTAAGTCATATGCTGATTTTAAAATCGACGAAAACAGCCGTAAGAGTATTTCTTGCATCAAGGTCAAATGTAGTACACACAAGTTATCTAATGTACACATTTATTTAATGATGATCATGTAACATCTAAACTGCATGAACCAGTTAAAGAACTATTTAGTTCTTTTTCATAGTACTTTCTTTCCGTTAATCTGTAATAGGATTATTAGATAAATAGGATTATAACTATCAGCCTAAATCGGTGAAATCATTAAAGTACATTTACGGTTGGGATTACTGTCGCCATTGTAAGGTGATCTACAAAGCTAATAATGTGAAATTATTAAATCTTTGTTATTTTTAATTATTTTATTGCTACAAAATGGAAACAAAATAATTCCAAATAGCTAATCTCTACAGTTTAAAAGTAATGACTTCTAACTTTAAGGATAAATTAATCTAACAGACAATTTATTGTAATTGAAGTTGCAATAAATGGCTATTTAAAGTTTATTATCAGTATTATTATTTGAAATGAAAATAAATTGGTCTGTGCAAAATAAATTTTAAAGTAATAGAGGCATCCCCAACGACAGTGCCAAGAAAATTAGTATTTTTGATAGATACATTGCTAAATTGGTTGAATAAATACTTCAAAATTTAATTCTACTCACTAGTATTAAGTACATTTTCAAAAATAAAACCAAGTAAAGACAAACGAATTTTCCTTTCTCTCGTACTCAATTTAATCAATATTACAACGTCAAAATATGCATCGAATTTAATTATATTTTTGATTTTCGTTTTAGGTTGGAAATGCATGATCTTGAAAGCCATCAGTAGCATCGGAGCGATTGGCCAAGAGCGCAATTCTGGATAATCCGATGTTGTGCACAGGACTGGCGGCAAGAACCTCAGTCGTCGTGGCAACGTAGAGAGCTGATGATTGGCTGGTGGAGGTATCATGGAGACGACTGAGCAGAGGAGTGTTTGGGTTAGTACTGGTGGCATATTTGTACAGGGCGCCTTCTTCACAGGATACGACATGTACTGGACTGCGAAGAAGACTAATTTAAATGGAAAGTAGCTATTATTATTACGAAAGCAACGAATCACTAAGATTTATTGGAAGTCACACAGCGTTGGTGAGTATTTTTAAACTGTAATTATCGATTTAAAGTATTTAAACACTATTCATTTCGGAGAAATTTATTAAAAACGGCTAGAATAACTTAAAGAAAATTTACCTTGTGTGAGATTGCATAGGATAAAATTGAGAAGTGCACGTAGTAGCAGGTTGCACCTAAAGCAATAATGAATGAGCAGATAATGTGTCATAAAGGCTTTAGACTAAATGCAAATCAAATGAAATTCACATTTGAAGTGTCCTCGATGAATTCCTCCCTCGCGTTGTGTCGACCCAACGTCGACATGCGATCTAAGCCAAAAGTGAATTAGTATGAAATAAATGACCATATAAGATTAAATATACTTAGGCACAAATAAGTTACTTTAATACTGGGTTAAAAAACACGTGGGTTCGAAGCAATTATACAATCGAAACCACCATACAATGGATACTTTGAATAGCACTCAGAGTTTTACCTCTAAGGTGATATAATTAGTAAATGATGATTATTAAAATATTATTTATCTGTCTAATTAGCAAAACAATACTGTCTAAGTTTAATAATAGGAGTAAAATATGATGGTGTTTGAAGTGCGAGTGTGTCATTCTCTCATGGTGGCTCATAACTCTGCGCGGTTCCAAAGGCCAGATGGTAATTTGTCATTGGTTGCTCGAAAATGAACAGGAACGTGGGAGGTTAATCAACTCCCTCATCACACTTTATTCGGCCAGTTCTTCATAACCCTGGTTCAACTTACTGAGAACTAGTGACTTTTTATTCTCATCCAATTCACTCCATATGTCCTCATGCTCTGCCTTTGTTATTTACTCCATTAATCTCATTCATTTCCCCAATGTACAGATAATAAGAAGCATAACTTTTGATCCACTGATTTATGCCAAGGTCACGCTTGTGAAGTTTATCCCTTGTTATTGGTGGCTAGCTTTTCATCAACTTTTTCAGACACTTGAAATAGCATCACAAATAGGACTATTGTTAACGAGAATTGAGCAAATAAGTATCGTGGCGAATCAATTAACAGCCAAAGTGATTTTAATCTATAAATCCTTATCTTGAATATTGCTTGCCAATTTTAATGACGTAGAAGTATAAAATTAGGGTTAGGAATAAGGTTTATTTGTAAGTGATGATAAATTAAAGATATGTACTTGACAAATCGATTATTAATCTCACGTTTCATCTTAAGTTGAATTTATAAACAGGAGAAATAAGAACATTATTTCACCTGGATAAAATTCTAGTGTTAAAAATGCAAATTATAGGGTTAAAATTATTCCAAAATCATTTGGCAGCGAGTTTGGAAAAAAGACACCTAAAAACAACTTACCGCAATGCAAATCAACAGATGACCCCGATTTGGGATTCGCTGTTATAATTCGTGCCGTTTTGCAACCTCTTTTATGTATAATGTGTCGCCTAATGATCCAACAAAGCAAAGTGAAGAATATTGCTGCAAGGACTGTTGCCACGCCAACTGTAATTGCCAGAATGTATGGCATCTCCTCTGCAAATAAAATGGGAGGAACAAAATGTGCCAGACCCTTTTTATAGCAACAAAAAACAAACGCCGCTCACTTGTATTAGCTAATGCTACAGAAATCCTACTTGTGACTTGAAAATCTTCGCGAAAGCATACTTTGCTTGACAAATTTAGTGTTTTCTTGATGCTTATTAATGCCAAAAAAATTTAAAAGACTCATATCTACAAACTTTAAATAACATGAAATAGTAAAAAGTTACGAGTTTTCGAAAAAAAAAGAAAACCAATCGGATGCCGCATTTTGCAAAGTTCGAATTATCTATCAAATCTTCTTTTTAAATTTTAAATTAGCATGGTGCAGTAGCAATTAAAGATACGCAATACGCCAACTTCTTCCTTGAATCACTTCATCAAAATTCAATAAATGTTGTTCATGATCCTAGAATTACCCAAGGTGGTCTTTAAGTTGTCGCCATTCTTACTGGTATATTCACATTATCTGTCTCTAATACATTAGCACTTAGTCGGATAAAAATTTCTATCAATCTGGAGATCAACCAACTCTCAGTCATCAATAGAGTTAAGTGACGTTCAGTCTCAAATTGGGTTTGTTGATCCATGTAGTGCCCGCCTATCATAATGTCTCATTTGACTGGCCGACCTAAGCTGCCTCAGGAGACCTACAAAGGAGATAAAAGAAGACAGCCAATCTACGCCTACTTCATCTAGTCTTTACAATTGTACTTTCATACACGTCGATTAGACGCATAATCAGCTCTCCTTTGTCCAGCCATCTACCTTCCACTCTTCTTCCATGAAGGGGAATAATGCGTCAGTGGACCATATAGACTTGGATTCTTTGGAGCTGGAAAAGTTGGTGCATCCCATTAGCCTCCCCGATAATTAGATTTGAAAGAAGAGGTCTCAGTCAGAATGCAAAGTAGTTTTGCTGGGATCAAAGTTACTCTATCTACGAGTCCTATTGGATGAGGTCATTTTAGCTGTGGCTGTATTCCTGTAATGATTAAAAGCTAGTAAAAATTTTTGCCTGTAATACTAAATTAGTTGAAGGAAAATAATCTGCATAGAGAATGCAAAGTCAGTATCGTATCATGTCTTGAAGACATATGTTTCCCATAAATGTACTGATTTATTGAAGCTGGATATGTGGCGACAGACATCAGATACGCGACCTCTAACTTATCCAACTAGTACTGTAACGCCTGGAACAACAGTTCATATTCGACTTTGAAGTTAGTTACCTAATTCATTGAACGCAATGACGGATGAGGCGCTACCAAAGGGTGTAGTCACTGTGCAGTTGTAGTCTCCGAAGTTCTCTTTGGCGATTTTGGTGAAAATCAAGGTGCTTTTCGAGCCGATCAAGCCCTCCTCATGTTCCAAGTGCAAACTACGGAAGAGTTTTAAAATTCGACTGTAAATAAGTTATTTATTTATAAAAATACAATAAATGTGCTGTTTCGATTATTTAAACCCACGATAAGGTAATTACGGAATTCAAATCTTAAATAGTATTACAACTTTTAATACAACCGAACTAAATATTTTGGTAGTAAATATGATGTTGACACAAACTAAGGGCAATTCGGAAACTCTTTGAAACTTTTTGTAATCTATTGTACAGTCTGGTACTCTTGCTCGAAGTTGAAAAATTCCTCAAAATTTGGAGTTTGATTATTTACAGATAGGACGAAGCATGAGGGTTAATCAAATTTTGTTATTTTTTTCAACTATAGATCACAGAGATAACATACATTTTACTAATTCGCATATCGACAGTGCCTTAGAAAATAGCAGAGCAATAAAATATAAAGGTATATTAAAGCAGTCAATGTTGGAAGCTGAAAAGGAAATCTGCCCAAGGAACCTGAGTTATAAATCATTAAATAGAATGAAAATGATTTGGTAGAAATTTAAGGTATATAATATAGTTATACATGAATCAAACCTTGAAGACGGGATGACACCTGATGGATGTGTTGAACTGGACCAAAGAAAATCTTGAGGTGAAGCTCTTGGTAGTGCGATGACTTTGCAGTCAATGCGGCCCGAATCTCCAATACGACCACTCACTCGTTGGGGTGTTTCAATTATTGGAGGTCCTAAATAGATTTAATTATAAGTTGGCATTGTTCGATGTATTAATGATATAGGAAATGAACATTTTTAAATGATGTAGAAATGAAATGTTCCCACTATAAACAAAATTATGCGGCCCAGTTGACTCAGTTTCATATGGACGGCTAAAGATCGTCATTTCAAACCATCTTTTGCATTTTATAAGATGTTACTAAACTAGGCTAGATTTTCAAGCGAGAACTAATTAAGTAATGCTCATATAGGCTTCATTAATCGTAAAGTGATGGCTGAATATTTCATGAGTTATTCATCGCGAAATAACACTTTACTCTGTGGGGCCTTGAAGCAGTCAAGTTATCAATACCACTTTCACAAAGGAGTCATTTAAAACAGCAGTTAACTAAAATGCTCTTATTTCTTGTTGTGAGAATAGCAAAAGGTGGGATTTAATAATTTTCACGTAAGCAAGGGTAATTGTTGAAGCTCAACAGTACTGCTTCAGTTGGTCTGACCTCGGTGGTGAAATTTCGAAGTTCTATCAAAATAGAGTATGGTTCAATGCTAACTGGACTGGCCTTCAAGTCTGGAATTGAAACAGTCTTAACAAGTATTTTTCGGGTGTAAAATTGGAACCTATGTCTAACTTACTTTGGCGATGTAATAATGAAATGTGGCAGTAAGCAGCTCCATCTTCATAGTTATTATGCATATGCGTGATTAATTTAGGGTAATTTTGATTTTAGACATTGCTATGCAAGCACTTATTTATGGTATGCCAAAGTTCATTACTTGGGGTTGAGCAATACATTCAATTGCTCCTTCATTTAAGTTCTTGCCACTTGCTAGAATGGAATTGGATTTCGAAACAATATAATGCATCGGAGTAAAATTAAAAATGTCTATTGTGCTAAGAGTAAGACACTGATTCTGCGCTTAGATTTGCTTACCCTTAAATGATTAGTAGGGTTTTGAATAAAGGCAAAATTTGAGCCTTCTAATTACATGGAGGCTCTGGGGAAGCACGGCAAAGGTTGAATTGGAAGTAACGACATTCCGACAATTTAAAGCAAGCAATAAGAGGGTCTTAAACAACTCTATCAGATAATTTAAATTTCTATTTTTTTAGAAATTACTTTATATCCATTTGAATTAATGTCATTTAAATTTGTTCGCATGATAGGAGATCAGGCAGAGTTGTTTAATTGAAGACATGGCGATAAAACTGTCAAACTTACCGGATTCCGCCAGGACGGTGACTTTTCTGACCTCTCTTTGCGCGGCCAACCCCACACAGATGTAAATGCCAAAACCGTCAACTGAACGCGTCTTCACATTCAATGTGGAGTAGCGTTCTTCTGATCGCTGTTTCTAGATAAGGCAAATATTTGATTGATTGAAGTAATTTCTCCACTGCATGAATTTTAATTAAATTTATTTGAATTGGTGGGATAAATTTTAAATAGTGCTATTAACTTGGGCATATAGGCTGATTGGGTGGCACCATTTAAAATCTCAGAATGGGTAAATTCAGGTGTTTGCTTCTACAGGTAATCAAACGAATTTGAACCGAATCCAAAGCGTAGCTATTAAAAGGATCCAAACCAAAATTGTTTTTTAGCTATCTTCCTTGACATTTAATTGACCTACAAACTCTCAAAGACTTAGCCAAGGTCATCTACGAGGAAAAGAAGCCTTTCCACTGCTGGTGTGTCTAAGGATTTAAATCTTTTAATTAACCTTCTTTTTCTCCTCAGTGAATCTTTCAATATTATCGATGTACTCTATAAACAATCCATGTGTCGGATAAAAATTATCTTAAAATGAACTAAACGTTTGAAGATTGTGGTTTAAATTTTAAAATTTGTGCGTTTTCGCTTGAAATAATTGAAGTGCTGCCGATTTCAATGTTAATAAAGTGTGCTTTTGTAAATTGCCTAAGACAAGTTCTGTTTCTAATGGTCGATTTATTCTAAGTAGTGGCAATAATAACTTAAAATTAGCTTAAGTAAACAAGTTAGTCGTAATAAGTCCCTGAATATACTTATTTATTTTTCTAATGCCTGATTTGGTTTGATATGCCTTCAAAATATAGTTGAGCAAAGTTTGAAATTCATTTAGCAACATTGGCTCGACATTGACCGTTTAGCGCGAAATATGGAAAAATTAATTGCTTCTTTTAAGCCTAACTATGCATGGAAGATCTTTCTTAAAAAGATATATGATGCATCGTCCAAAAGTTGGATTATCATCTTGTTCTTACTTTAAAATCCCGGGGAACCAAATCGGCATGTAGAAACGATCTCAACAAGCGATGAGTAATCACAGTAGGCGTGTATAAGCCGGTGGCATTCGGGTAGGCGTCCACCGTGGCCCTATTGACAATCCTGAAACCACGATAGTGATGCCATGTCACCATAGCTGGAGGATTGGCCTCAACTTGACACGTCAGTTGCGCTGTTCCTCCCATAGCAACTGTTTCTACCTCTTCTTCAGGTCCTTGCAGTTTTGGACCATCTCAAATAACGGCAAAATAAAATTTGGTATTTTACAATCAGCCGATCATTAGCTTTTAAAAGTTGCATTTGAGGATCATTAAGCATATGACAATCGAGTCTCTTAATCAAATAATAAATATCCTCTAGCTTTGCTCTGAAAATTTTGCCCAAGGTGTGTATGTGTGTCGAAAAATAACAAATTTTTACATTGTTGGCTAATTTAATCTAAGCATCTTATTATTTTTTCTCCGTACTTTTGTCTCTTCATGCTTATTTAAACGGGTTATCGAATTTCCTTTTTAGTTCTCTCAGAGGGATCTTTGGCTTTTGGAGTGGGTCTATTTTGCAGGCAGGTATCATGAACTATGACTCTGTGATGACCATCTTTGGGACAAGTTTATGGTTCTATTCACTCGTATCAGTTTCAAACTAATTAATAGTTTGATTTAGCTTAGTTGACTTAGAATAAAATGATTGTTGAACTATTTCCACCACAATTCGAAAGTGTACACATATAATCTCACTCCAATTTCAAGTAGTCTGAAAATGTGATATCTAAGCAGAGGAAGACTGATATATATATAATAATTTTCAATAATTTTTTCATTTGCTCGGGTTCAATTACCTCAGATTCTCGGCACTTCCTTCTATTAAATTTTTAAATACATGAATCGATATTATTTTATTCACAGTGCTTCAAACTGCTGATTAAGCCCCACGTTGAAATTGAAGCTTAGAGGAGAATAGAATTTTCGAATAAGGCGTGTTTCTCCCCTACTTTTGTGGAAAAGTTTAATACCAAATAATGCCATGGTATTAAATAAATGCCATGTTAAATTCTCAGTACAAAATGAAACTTTCATAAAGAAAAGTGATGACTTTGCAGGCCAAGAACCTTTTAAAAATCGAGAAATGATATTCTTTGTAGAAAAGTAAATTTTAGCTATTTAAATGTGAATGAATATCATTCTTCACTATCCTTTATTGTTATGGGTGACATAAAACCATGAATGAAATCGAATTCGTAACTACACTTGGACTATGTGAAAAAATCAGAAATCTGTATCGATTTCATTGCTTTTAAACCAACTTAAATAGTGCCTTACTCTTGATGAAACATAGAATTATTCTTTTTTAAAACATGAAACGCGTATTATTCAAGGCAGAATTTTCATTCAGTTAAGCGATTATCTTTCCTTTCAGAATGACTTTTTACTTTGATTTCTCCTTATGAATCTTTCCAATTGATATCAATAGACTGCAGTAAATTACATTTCGATGAATGTTATCGCGGTATTATGCATTATTTTATTTTTGCTGCTTTGTGCAGTGGCTTTATTAATGTAGCAACAGGATCGGTGTAGAAATCTGTACACAGATGATGAATCTGCCATTCTAATAACTAACAAAGGTCAAAGAATTAGTAAATAGTCAGAAGATTTCTATAATCAGTAATAAATAGCGCCCATTCGGTTTTCCAAAGGTATATATCAGTTTCTTATTTTGGGAAAGATTGATAATCAAATTAGCATAAAATTAATGAAATGCAAGGAAGTATAAGTCAAATCGCCAGAATTTAATTGAAGCGTAAAAGGCAAACAGCTCACTACTAACGTCAAGTCATGAGATAAATCAAAGACATGATCCAATTGGACAATTAATTGAGTATTTTATATCAAAATATGCTATTAATAATAACAAAAGCCCTTTTTTAATAGCCAACAATAACCATGATTAAATATATTTCTAATTTATTGTTATGAGAAAGGTGCTGGCAATGTAAAGAGAGATATACATGATCACTTTTACAATTTACTTTGATAAAACGAAACCCACTTTTGCATATTTTTATTCAACCTCAAGTAGTCTTAAAATAGAAGCTGATTTCATGGAATGCGATATCTTATAGTATAAAAAGTCAAAGTTTCAGTTGCTCTGGGTATGACCATAAAATGCTATCTTCAATCATGGGCAACAACTCACAATTAACAGTCAGGAGAATTGACGTGTGTTTCCAAGTTGCCGAACCAATAGAAACGCCACTTTCCACTGTTTTAGGTAACACTGGACTTGCCCAGCATCGCAACCACTGTCCATGAAGTTGAGATGTGATTGAAAGATCGAGGTAAGGCGAGGTGCTGATTTCACGTTCTCGTGGTCCAAGTTGTAACTGAGACATGCCGTTGATGCTCTTTTTCTCTATATTATAATTAGCACTGTCTCCCTTCCCGGCAATTTTTTCTCCCGATATTACTACTGACGGATCTTTCAGCGTCCATCTAAATATTGAAAAATTAAGAAACAGTGAAGCACTGAATCAAATTATCGTCTTTATCATAATACCGTTCAACTTTAAGTAGACTGCTCAATAAGTTCTGTTAAAATATTTTAAGAAGCATTTGGTAGAAGAAGAAGGATATATTTAGATATTAAACACCTAAGAGGGAATATTTTTTAGCTGCAGCTTACTGAATGTAATGAGCAGTGAAGAAGTCGACCAACTTCATATGAATATAGTTCATGAATGATTACTTTTGGGTATATGTGGAGTTCAGACCGATGAAGTTGTAAGAATAAATCGATTCAGTGCTAACAGCGGGATGGTTATGCGTAAGGTAAACTAGAATGGCACCCAGTCACGAAATGCTACGATTAAGTTGTGATCATAATCAACGCCTATATCCCCAGTTGAAATTTGTCAAACTCCATTGTGCCCTTTTATCTAGATCTGAAGCTATTCGAGAAACTGCGGCAGAAATTGGGTAGTTCTGAACTGATCGTTGCCACCTCAGGCACACCACCTTTCCTGAACGCATTGTTAATCCTCTTCCCAAGAGACATAAATACCTCATATTTTCCCCTGACTGGACACGCACTCATACTCCCTCAGCTTCAAACGCAGTCTATTTCTACACACATCAGTCCATGTCATCGTTTCTACGCCTTCCTAACAAATCTTTCCAGCCACTTCCTTGATTCGAATTAATATTTTTGTTTACGTTAAGAAGGGTAAAAGATGAAAGAGTGACACCCTATTCTTGTGTATGCAAATATTCACTTAGGTGAGATAGAATATTTAAATTGTGGGCCTGAAAAGTCGTGTTGTTTTTGGCGCTTGAATAATATGGACAAAAAGGAAGGGAATAAAATTTAAATATTCTTTGAATAAAAGGCTGATTTCTAATTCAACATAGAAATTAGCACTTTTAGTACTATGCCTTGCGTACAAAGGCAGAATTTTTGTATGCAAACGGTTGCACTAATCACAAAACCATGAATAAAACAAACGAGTGTAAAAAGTTGGAGTTCTGCAGCTGCCGTTGTTTTATTCGGAAATTCATGCTCACTTCCTGTTTATTTACATAATTTAAACAAATGCGTTCAAGGCTCACTTTACTACCGTGATTTAATAATTCATGGAAACGGTCTACCTTCGAATATAATAAAAGTTTGACTTTTTGTATATTATACAAACTTCTATGAACATATAACGGTTAATCTGAAATTGTTTTGGAGTTTGCAGTGAGCGTAGTTCTATCAGACAATGCCATTTTAAAGGGGAAGTAGCTACAACTACCCATCAGTACTTCTAGTATAAGAAAATTAAATCAGGAATCGCTGAATGAACATCCAAATTAACGAACGAATTCGGCAAAAATATACGATGCAAATCCTGAAGATCAGGCTTTCAAACAAAGCAACAGGTAGCTACCGGAGATGTTCGAGCCATAAAACCTAACATGAGCATTAGATATTGCTATTGGCTGAAATCTTATCAACGCCCCCCCCCCTCACCAAATCCATATTGATTAATAACTCTTAGTGAATTGATCTGCTTTATTAACAGCCATTTGCAAACAAGATTTTGCCTTTTTTAAACTCCAATAAAAGCTACGATCTAGTTGGCTTTCCAAGGGAATTTCTGGTAAATAATGCACATGCTGCAAGTAGTATCAAATGAAATTGAACTTTCCATAATCAGTGTGGTCCAATTATTCTCTCCTCGACTTAGGCCCAAAGAGCGCAATCTGTACGGGCACCAGCAACATGACTAGAAAACCGAATTCCACACAAATTGAACGAACCCGAATTAGTTAAATTTAACTGTAGTTAACCGCTAGACTTATTTACTCAATTTGCTTAAAGCCTGAGGACTCACGACTTAAAACCGCAGAATATCCCCAAGATTCATACATCCACACATTCCAGCTTCTTACTCCTTGTTCAACCCCTTTCACTCATCTTTTCTCATTCCGCATTCCGATTTGGTCCTATTGCATATGGACTGCTTCCCGACGTTGGCAACGCACTTTTAGACCCTGCCATTTCCAACTTCCTACTACCTACTCTGCAAGTCGTAAGTGACCTCTCACCCTCGAATATTTTGTTCTTAAATTCTGTCATATGTTTTTGGCTCATTGCATGACCGCGAGGGACTCAGTCGTACACTCGTGCTATTTCTGTAAATTAACTTCAAAACCACAGACCCTTCTTATATTCCACCATCTGCGTATACACATCAATAGAAACCAATGAATGAGAAGAAATAAATACAAGCCAAAATGCCAGTTGACCTAATGATTCTTTTGATCCCCCCCCCCCATGGAATTCACATCTACTTCCTAAATACTTTTTCAAATCGAGCATGCTCCCATTTAAGGGCTTTCGGTTCCAATGAATGCTTTCAACCTATTGAAAGAATTCCAAATTGTGAAGTCCTGTCGTTAAAAATTATTTCGGATAATATACACTGATCCCCTTATGAGATGAATTATTGATATGTTCTAGCCGTTTAGTAAAGTAGTAAAATTCTTAATTTTACTACTAAAGGAAGCACAATAATAACATATAAAATGCTTACGGGCATAAATATAAAATTGAAAGAATGGGCGTTGTCGCATTGTGATAGGTGGACATAAATAGATTTATTATTACCAATTTTAAATATTGCATGCTTCCCTTTTTACCTCATTAAATGAAATAATTAGCACTTTGAACTCTTTGAATAAACTTACATTCTAAAAATAAACATTTTTTTCAAAATTGAATGCTTGTGTGTAATTTGGTAAGGACAAGACCCACAACAAGGCATTGCAACTAATTACTGGAGGGACAAAATCAACACCCATTGATGTAATGCTCCTGATTAGAGGGAACACCACAATGCCTTCCTTTATCCTGCATGGGCAGCTACTGCGCATTCCCAGGGACAAATTCTACAGCACCTACGAAAATAAACCAAGACACCTAAAATTGCAATCTGGCCTAAAATAGAAAGCCATGAACCTAAGAAAGCTTTGCAAATTGCTAAAAACCAAAACCCTCTCTCTACCCCAAAACCCATGAGCAGATACTGATGCACAATGTTGCACCAAACTGTTTAACCATTTCATGAAAGGAGATACCCCTCCAGAACAAATGTGCTTATTGGCCATTGAGACAATTAATGTAAACTCCCCTGCAGATCAATGGCATCAAGCCAACACTGATGAGTCATACATAGAAAACCAAGAAAACGTTGGTGCAGGTGTTTACTCTAAACTATTCTCTTTCTATGCAGCAGCAGTAAAAAACTATTCCGTATTCAAAGGAGAAATAAAGACCAATAAGAGAGCATTAGGCCAATTGTGCTGCCTTGATACGAAATCCACCGAAGCAGTAATTCTTTCGTACTCACAGACAGCAATACATTCAACTTGAAACAGAGGAACACCCAAAACTGCATCAGTTACTGGGAGAAAAAAACAAAACAACAGTTTTTCGTTGGATCCCTTGGCACTGTGGTATTATAGGTAATGAGCACACTGACTACGTACCAGGCATGATTGTCTGGTTAAGCACCTTCACAGAATAAGCGTATACGCTCAACCAACACGTTCTCCATATGACCTACAGGAGAAAATGAAGAAGACCCACCTGATTCGGTGTCCAGCTCTAAAGACAACGACAGAAACCCAGAGATACTGGGAGGCCAGAAGTCAGCTATAGAACTATGATCAATATCTTAATGCCTGCCATTTGAAATAATAATAATAATAATTCCGTAAGGACTATTCTAGAATAAAGTAAAAAGGTAAAGTAGTTATGAGGATTTATCGCCTAAGGCGTTTTCTTCACTTTACTTCTCTGCCATTTGTTGTTACCATTAACACAATCGTAGAGATGAGGGCTTCATTGTGATTAGCACTATATAAAGGGCTGTCAAATCACTTGACTTTAGGGGGTTAATATCTCATCGCTTCAATGTTTTTTGCTGTAGAACACATATTGTGACGTCAGCCTACAATTCAGAATTATCATACTTCTTCAAGTAGACTTATTGTATTTTAAGTGTTAGCCATTTATATAACCATTTAATGATAATCGTCACGCTTTACTCTCCAACTATATTATGATATACTAAGATTCCTGTACCTCTTCATGCTACCTTCTCGAGCCATATATAACCTTCTGTAATTACAGGGAGCCTCTTTACCACCAACAAATCACCACCGCCACTGACAACTTCCTGTTCTTCCATTTAAAGTCCTGCATGCTACCTCTCTCTCCCTCTCTCCCTCTCTATCTTATTGCTCTTGTTGTTTCGTTGGAAAATGGAAATAAGAATGGAAGGGCCTTTGGAATTGATAATTCTGCTTGAAGATGGAATAATAATAATAATGAAATAAATTCTTAGAAATTTTATCTAATATATTGAGTTTTTTATGCAGGCTGTTTTTTTCTATTTTAAACGAGACTTGCTTTAATTTTATTACTTAGATTTATTTTTAGTGTTTCCTTTTAGTTGTTTCAATTCTAACAATGCTTAATGATCAGGACATCTCATTTCGCCACCAGGCCAAATACGTTTTTATTCATTCAAATGATCATGTGGTTTCACCTGCATTAAATCTTGCTTCTTCATTAATGAATCGCCTTTTTGACTTTCTCTAATTAGGCACTTGTAAGCTATCTGCACAGACCTATCTACTGTGAAGTTGACAAAGTGAAACGTTAAAGGTGAGTTATAGCCACAAATTCGGGTTCGTATCATCAAGGTCTGCTTATAAGTCGAAGCAAAAAATTACCTACGACAACCAAAGTAACTACTTTCGGGTACAAATATGACGAACCGATTGAAAAAGAGGCTCCCACGTTTGTATTTTGATTACAATACTAAACACTGAAATCTAGATCCAGTTGAAAAGGAAACACTCTAAGAGGTGTTTAATTTCATCTGAGCCACAGAAATACGAGAAACGAATGCATAAAAATAGCTTTTTTTCCAAAAATTAAAGCAAATAGTTTTTTGCTAAGACAGAACTGAGCAGA